TTTCAATAAAATCAGCAAATATGTTTGAAATATACACCATGTTTAGCATACTAAAATTTTCTTTGTAATTTTTGGTTATACGAAGACTATATCTCTATCAAGTTTCTAGGTGAGGGTAATTTCCATATCTATGATTTACCATATTATTTCAATTCATGAAAAATACAAGGTGTCCCAAAAAATGTATACACACTTTAACAGCTGATAGCTCAGTTTTCAAAATGAAATGTATTTTAATAAACACTGCCTTTATTCTAAGTGTGTGTATACATTTTTGGGACACACCACAGTGAAGAACTGTTCATGTGTGTGTATTTTATATATGTAATATATATATATATATATATATATGAACCCTCTTCTTCCTACCTATAGCATTTAATTTCTTAGAGTAAAAATGAATGTTAAATACATTTAATTTCAGTTTGGAAAGAATCAGGCAAAAAATAGCTTTCCTCCAAAATTCAAAGTCACGGAATAATTGTTGACTTTTTATTTGATTAGGAAAACATTAAGGGGCAAATAAATGTTCAAAGTGGAGTGTAGAAGTCAGCGGAACTTCCGTCCATGCTAATGGGAGGCAGTTGGCTAAGTTCCCTGGACAGTGCTTTGAACATACCCCTAGAACTTTTAAAAACGTTGTGAAGCACATTAAAACATGGACTGTTTTAAGATTCTTCACTCCTTTTAAACACAAAGAAGAAAAAGTGTTAAGGCAGGCAGTCTTTTTTTGTTCAGTACACATGAAAGAAGGATATTTAATAACGTTGTTCCTGGTTGTAAAGCCCTTGACTATTATACAGTTAGAGGCCAACAGAAACACCCCAAAATTTATTTGGTGCTGGGCACTGCCATTGTAGGTGTTTGTGAAATAGTCCAAAATAGTAGCAATTCTATGTAGAAAAAATATGCATTCCTTTATTCCAAAATTTAACAGGAAACAGTATTTATGAGTTAGCGAGTGAGATTTTTGTATGGCTTCCCTGTTGACAAATATATCTACAGAGTTTTAGGCAGCAGGTCTAGGAGACCTAGCACCTAGTTTTAGAAGGATCACGCACAGAAGAATACAATCGGTGAAGAGCGCAGGAGCCATGGAACGAGCCCACCTTCACAACAGATTTTGTAAATCATAAGATCAGGCAACTTTGTTGTTAAATCAAACATTGGCTTTAAATATTAACAGAAGTAGATAATCTGAAACCATAATGATACCTGCCAGTTTCCCCCAACAGTAGTGTTCAGGTGACATCTAGAATATGGTGAAGGGTGTTGACAACCTCCAGCTTGTCTGGAGGATGTGACTGGAATGAGCTGTCTGGAAGCCATGTATATGAGGAATGCTTAAAGAAGAAAGACTTGCAATTGTATAATAATTTTCTTTGATATTTGAAGATTTTTCACATGTGAGAAAGACACTACTTATTCTGTATCAGTTTAAGGAACGGAAATAGAAGAGAGAGATAGAGGAAGGTAGCAGCTTGATATTTTACACAGCTCTCCAAAAGAAAATAGAATGTTTTTTAAACAGGTGAGTTTTTTGTCAACGGAATTGAACATAATTGAAAGTGTAGGGGGTGTTTCTGCATGTGGAGGAAAGCTGGACTCTAACAGTGTTCCCCAATCTTTGGTGATTTTCAGAATTGCATGTGTGTATTATTGTCATGGTCATTATTTTAATATAGACACCCCCAAGCCATACTCTATGCCTAATGAACCAGAATCTCCAAGAAGATGCATCTATGATAGAGAATAACTGTTTAATGGAGAAAAAAAACTACCCAGAGAAATGTAGTTAGCATGGTCTAGGTATATAGTTTTCATGATTTTTGTTAAGGTAATAATTATGATTCTAGGGTTCAAATTATGAAACAAAATTTAGATGCATTAGCATACATTGTCCATAAAATTTTTATTGCATCTGTAAGATAGATCCATCCAAATTTCATGTTCTTAGAGATTTTTCAGTCACTTAATAAATTTGTATGAAGGGCTTATTATGTGTTGCATTAGGCCTGAGGATGAAGAAACAGTTTGAGCAATCATTGGGGATTTTGCTTTCAGAGAGTCGAGCCTAAGAACTCCCACAAAGTTAAGATTATGAATAAGGAAATAAGCAATTTTAACTCATAAGAGTAATTTTTACATCACTGTAACATTTCTTAAGACTTCCTGGGTTCAGATTTGATCTCCGCTGTTGGAGTTATGCAATCTTGGGTGAGGTTCTTACTTTCTCTGTTCTATAGTTTTACCTTCTACAAATGGGGATAGTAAAAGCTCACATTTTTCAGTGTATCATAATGATTAGAAGTCTTCATAAAGCATTTAATATAATGCCTGACACATTGTAATTAATTGATAGTCATAAACTGTCCTGAGCCTCATCTTAATTGTCATCTAGATGTGTAAACATCCAGAAGAAATGAAGCTTTAGAGGAAGAAAAGCCTCAATTCACTGGGGATATTAATTTTGTGATTTACACATAACTTTTGATATAAGACCCAACTAGATCTCTAACGTCAAATGAAGATATATCAGAAATTTAAAAATGAGAGCAACACATGGGGGATGTGAGGGGAGACTGAGATCATGGAAACAGAACATACCAGTAAAAATGTGTGACAATAGTGTTACCCCTGCGAATGTATCTTCCCAAGACTAACTAAAGTATTGCTGTAGTGACTTGCTTTACCAATCTCTCCTGTTCAGAAAACATTTCTGTATGTTAGAAGTTCTTTCACCAAAAGTAACATATTTAATTTGCCTAATCATGTCCAGATAAGAGTTTTGATCAAAATTAAAACATTTATTCCCATGTTTTGGAAACTGAAGAATTTCTTTTCAGCTTAAAAGTAGGTTAATGTAAATTCTTTTAGGGAGAAAATACTTTCTTAATTTATATTCATAGATTACCTTTCTTGCCATTACCTTACTTATCCCCTCCTTTTTTTTACCTAGTTGGTAAATATATTTCCATGCATTTAGAATATGAGCAGATGATTTAAAAAATTAATTCTAAACACTATGTATACATTGAAAAATCCTTTAACAAAAGTAAAATGTAAATAATCTTTCTCTACCACTAGTTTGCCTTTCATTTATTTTTTTCAAAAATAAGCAAGCAAGTTCACTTTCATTTCCTGAAAGCCCTTTTGTCAGACATGTGACTGCGGTTATTTCAGTGTAGCACAATGTTTGATTGAATGTCAGAGGAAAATCACCCAAATCAAGTTAGAAGAACTAGTTTGACAGAGTAATGACATCAACAGCCTCTCCTGTTGGTTAGAGATACATAACTCAGCAATCACTGGCACCAGTCATTACACATTTTGGCTAAAGTGGGATACATATAGTAGAATGAGCCAACGTCCAAACAACAGAGACCATAACCATTTAAGAATTAATAAAATATTCATATTATTATATATATTTATAGATATATCTCACAGACTTACCATATTTAAAGCAGCTTATAAAAATATTGGTATAAAGAACTATGAAATACTAAAATAAGCATCCTGCCAATCGTTGAAGCCCCACCTAAGAGATGAAATTAGGTGTTCAGATTTTCTCAAATGTTTTGAAACTGCTAGATCCTTCTACCAGTGGGATCTAGATACTTTCTACTTTTAATTCGAAATAAGTTGTTTTAAAAAGTACACTTTAAGCTTGGGTGTTTTAAGGCACAAGGAAGGCCATAAAGAGTAGACTGGAATCTTTGCATAAGAATAAATATAAGAAAACATTTGTGTAAGTGTTGAAATAATTGATAATTCTATTCCAATGATCATGACTTTAAAAAACAAAGCCAGATGCGGTGAATATGTATATTGCTGCTGTGTTCTACTACACATCTATTGTAATAATATTGCAAAAGGCATACAATGTTTAAATCATCGTTTAAGGCTGTGTGTCTCTGCCATGCAATGTTTCCCTTTTCTTTTTCCTCAGCTCCTGCAGTTTGTCATCATTTTCTCTGTGCTTCTCAGTAATGCATGTAATTGTGTTTGTACCCTTGTTTAATTATATGGTCTAAGATACTTTCTATTTAAAATTCGTATTATACAGATTCTCCTTCAGGTTTTCTTACATGCTGGTAACTTTAGAGGAATTTGTGTTTATTGGTAATAGTGCACTAAGTGTTTTCTGTAGAGATTTAATGATATGAAATGTGACTACCTTGGGCACAAGTGATAAAGCGGTTTTCAATCTTTTATATGATGTTTGCTATATAGTACTGACATTATACTCATATATGTTTGCTAATACTTGGCTATCTGTCCCAGCTGCTTTCATTAGTTGGTGATGGTCATGTTTTAGAATTCTAAATTTGTTTTACATGTCCTACGTCTGTTGTAACCTCACCACATTACATATAAGTCAAAGAATAAATGTCTGAAATGTGTACACATTTCTCATATTCACAGAGCTATGTGTTCAAGACAATGGGAAAGAAAAAGCAATGAAAGGGTAAACATTTTCCAAAGTGAGTTTGGTCAAAAATATCTACAGAGCAAACAGCCTAATGTCAGCACTGGTTTCCAACAAAAACTGCCACACTAAGTCCAACTATAGAACTTAAAAAATGAAATTGTGTCATTTGTTTAGAAATATGAAAACTATATTTAAACATAAAACCATCTTTTAAACTGCTTTTCTAAGCACATGAATTGGTCATGAATCATGACTAAATCTTCCAGATTTCATTTTAAAAATTATGACTATAAAAAGAATACTCAAGAGATTGACATGTTGTGAGAGTATTTTATGTGGTTAAGTGTGTGGGTTTCGGTGATCTATTACAGTAAAACAAACTGGAAGAACCTTTCACATAATTATTTTTCAGTAATCGCTTTACGTACTCAGAATGTAATTACAGACCACCCAACAGGAGCAAACAATGCATAGTGAACAAAATTTAGTAAATTCACTGTAACAAAAGCAAGGGAACAAAAGTGAGAATGCGTAAATGTAATGTTTGTTGTTTTATATATTCCAGATTCAGAACAATTTGTGGGCAGGAAATGCGAGTGGTGGCTCTGTGGTCACGTCATGCATGGTGCCACGTGACACTTCTTCCTGTATGACACCTTACTCTCACTCGCCTCGGACAGATGCCAGTTACACGGGGTTTTCAAACCACCAGAACCAGTTCAGCCACGTGCCCCTCAACAATTTTTTCACTGACTCTCTTCTCACGGGGGCTACCAATGGACATGCATTTGAAACAAAGCCAGAGTTTGAAAGGAGGTCTTCCAGCATCGCAGTCCTTCGAATGAAGGCCAAGGAGCACACTGCCAATATTTCATGGGCCATGTAACATACAGTACTCTTATTTTTCTTTCAATGGAAAAGTAAAACATTCTTATTTCTCATATTTAAAGGATACCACAATAAGCTGCTGTGTGTGGAATTGCTAACGGTCAAGATATACAGCGAGACCAGCTTAAATGAATAGTTGTTATTATTTAACATTAAAATCTAAGAGTGAACGTCTGAAGACTAAATAGGTTTACCATGCACCAGTCTCCACAAACTCTGTTTTAGTAGTAATTTTTTTCTATTGTACGAATCGATGAAATATGATCATGAAACCTTCTTAAAAGAATAAATGTATTAAACAAATTCCTCTGTTATTGATTGATTTATGATAGTTCTGTACAACAAGAAATCCCTTGTAAAATAATACCAGATAAAGAAAGAAGTGCACTGGGGAAACTGTCAGGATACCGAAGCTGTCAGGTAAATATTGAAGCAGGGTGTTTTGGGGAGTTAAATGCCATCTCTCCCTCTCTGGCTGCAAAACACAATGGGCATATCCCCTGATGCTGAGAATTTATCTTCAGGTCTTAAAGATTCTTTTGCCCCTAGGTGTTTTAGTGAATTTTCATTCCATGCAAAAAGAACTCTTCTAAAATGACCTGCATTTGCATGAAATATTTGGGCATAGTTTCCTGAAACCATGTGGCCTAAGGTGATACCTGAAATATTCTGGTGTGATTTAAAAATATAGCCATGAGAACAGTTTTTATAAATGCCATCTTTTTGGTAAAAAAGCCAGTGTGGACTCAGTGACTTAGTTATCACACAAGAAGAAAAGAAAGTTACAAAACCTGCTGTTGCTTTTAAATTAAAACGTTCAGTTAAACTGTGCACACAAACATCCATAAATGCACTAAAAGAAATGTATTCTGTTAAAAGAGCAGCGAATCGGAATTTATATTTACTTCACGTGCAAATGCAAATGCACGCGTGTGTGTGTGTGTGTGTGTGTGTGTGTGTGTGTGTGCTGACATATAATCTGTAAGCATTTTTTGCTACTGTGGTTTTGCATAGGGAATTAAAATGTCAGAAGGCTCTCTAAAATTTCTGGTGGAAACGAAGAAAAATGCATTGCATCTGGAAAATTGCTAACCCCGTTGATTTACTTCTACTCCCTTTCCCCTGTCACATTCCAAGCTTTTTCAGATGAGTGAAATGTCAACTTCCTTGAAAGACTCTTAAGTTCATAAAGGCAAAGTAAATTAATTGAAGTGAAGATGACTTCCATGGCTCGGATCAGAGCAAGATCTGCTCTTTGTGGACTCTTCCTTGCGGTGCCTACAGCCTTTAGGGGTATGCTTGGAAATTTTAAAGGCTAAAGGACAAGAGTACATGAATTTAAAAATTAAATTTAAGAAAAAGTACTTAAATCCAGTAAGTATCTCTTCTTAGTGGGAAAATATTTACAGCAGTTAGACATCTTTTGTAATAAAATTTTAAATCAAACAGATGATGGAGATGAGTGATGTCCTAAACAAACATTCCTTGACTTCATAATAACTCTGTTCTTTATTACTTTTGTGTTCTCTCTTGTTCCCAAGGCAAAGTTGTTCAACTTTGGCCCTGAGAATTATGCGTACATGCAGGAGCTTTTGTTAAAGGGTTGTTTAGGCAGCTGTTAAATATCCTTCATGTTTTAGAAGAAAATGACTCCTTTTAATATATTCATATATGTGGTTAATAGGAACTTGTGAACTAAAACTTAGAACTAAAATATAAGATTTTTAAAAATTTCCCAAATTAGTAGTATTCATGCTCTTTTTCCTTTCTTAATTGAAATTTTAGTGTTCCTTTGCTGATACATTAGATGTTTTTAAATGAGATCCCAAACTCATAGACTCCAGTTTAAATTTGAATTCTTGCCTTAGTTTTAGCCAAACCTGCTGTAACTCAATTTTTAAAAATTTATACAACGTCTTTTAATTAAGGGCACACATCCACAATTCTCTGTATAAATTTGATTCATTCAGCACATTTTTAAACACCTATAGTGTGTGAAGTTCTACTTGAAATAATTAAACAAACAATGGAACCATGGTTCTTGTCCTTAATGAGGTCACAATCTTCCTGGACAGACACATGAATAGAGCATCCTAAACCATGCCTCACGTTTCATGTAAGAACTGCACACACACAAAAAATTAAAGTATGTTTTTATTGATTTCAGAGAGAGGAAGGGAGAGGGAGAAAGAGAGAGAAACATCAATGATGAGAGAGTCATTGATCAGCTGCCTCCTGCACGCTCCCAACTGGGGATCGAGCCTGCAACCCGGGCCTGTGCCCTGACTGGGAATCGAACCCGGATCTCCTGGATCCTAGGTGGATGCTCAACCGCTGAGCCACGGAGGCTGGGCTACATGAAATATTTTGAATTAACGTTCCCACCTTTTTTATTGGTTGGAAGTTTTATTACATATTTGAGTTGCTAAAATATAATAGAATGAACTTTGATGTAATAGGATAAGGTAAATCTTGAAAAGGAGGCATACAATGCACTTCCTGAATTTTCTCTTGCTCTTTATGAACGTAGCTTAGACAAAGCTTCATGCACTAGAATGAACAGCATTCACAATGTTGAACATACCTGAGTGAGGAAAGCTAAGGGTGTCTCATTCACTTTTATTTGGGATCCCCCTTGACAGTGTTGATAATTGGGGGTTTTGCTCACCTTTCGTCGCGTCTGCTGCTTCCACACATTGTTCTGCCGCAGGTGGTTTAAGAGATGATTCTTGTACTCTTTTCCCTGAACAATTTGGTTTAGTTTGGACCTCATGATAAGACATACATTTAATGGAGAATTAGATAAAGTTTGGTTTCTTTCAAAAACATAAATGAAATTTCAGAATATGGTTTGTCAATTTCTGAAGTTATTTATTTCTTATGAATATTAAAAGGGATTATTATCTTATGTAACTTCTTATGGAAGAAAAAAAAAGTAAAGACTAATGAAAGAAAGGTCCTACTGTAATCTTTGCCTTCAGTCCTGACAACATATCTCAAAAGAATAACAGAGTTACTTAACCTATGTAACCTTGAGGAAACTCATGAAATTGTGTGTATAAATGACTGGACTGTACTAGTTTCAGCGTTTCAATTGGCTGCTGACTTTTTTTACCTCCAAGGCAGGGGGAAGGGGTTGACCAATGCGCTTAATACAAGTTCTTAGAAGATATGTTACTGTTTCATTTTAGCATCTTTGCTTTCTCTTCTCAAACATTGATTTCTATAGTACAATTCATATACCAGTTCCCTGTGTTTTCTATAGTGCTCTTTTATATATTATGCTGATTTTAGTTTATAAGCAGCTAAGCAGTGACTTGGCTAAAGAAGTGAAAAGATCAACTATAGTGTTTGCATAAGCTGTTTGAAAATTTTAAAATAATTTTCTAAACTTACCAGTGATCCAGACTTTTGCCTTTCAACATTTAATTTGAATAATTGTAAATGAAGGGTGGTTATGTTAGATATAATTTTAATTAAAAATTATCACTTCTTGTTGCCAAATATTTCAGAAGAAATACAGAAATGATCTTATTTTTAAAATCTTAATTGCTCTGCTTCTTTTTTTCCTCTGATTAGAATGTAAAGATGTATGCTTATCATTTAAAATACAATTTAAAATATATGTTTATCATTTAAAATATAATTTAAAATAATTTAAGCTATCTCTAAGAAGTTCGGCATCCAAAATTCCAATAGACATTATTTCCTTATAGCTATTCAGGTTTTGCATTGAATGTGAATATGGCTTTTTGTAAGGAATCTATTCAATAAAATGATTTATTAAATAGTACTTTTGTTCTTAGGCTCCAAGTTTCATCATATATATTTTATATAAACAAGGGACAAAATGTCACTGATGCTCCAACTGAAAAAATCAGAAGCGAAGTGTTTAGCAGTAGAGTTAGCATTTACGGCACAAAACCCACAAAATATATTAAATGCAATATTGGTCTTACAGGGTATAGTTAATGTTAAAACAAGATATTTTGTTTATTTTAATAACTCTCCTTTTTAAATGGCCATCATTTATCCTGGAAATATATTACAAAATTGGTGAGCAAGGCTTTAAGACAGGGTCTAGCTAATTCTTCAGTGTGCTGAATAAATAGGAAATTGAAAGAAACCTTTTATTTTCTTCTTAGCCTTAGAATTATAAACTGCCATGCACTTTTTTAGTCCAAGGCGCAAATAAATTATTTCACTTGAGGATTTCATCATGACACTATTTTATAGTATGTCTGCCTCTAGCATACAAGACATTATATACAGAAGTTTTCCATGCATTTTTCACGTAATGTATACTTGTAGGACCTCCTCTTACCTAGTCACCTTAACGTGCACGTTAAAGATTTAAGAGAATATAGTAGTCATCTTCACCCACAGCTTCTGAGGTTTCAGTTACCCACAGCCAGCCTTGGTCTGAAAATATTAAGTGGAAAATTCCAGAAATAAACAATTTAAGTACCATTCCGAGTTTCAAACTACTATTCAGAGCCGTGTGACGGAACCTCATGCCGTGCCACTCTCCTGCCTGGGGTCCAGCGCACGCACACTGTGTGCACTCCTGCCTGTTAGTCACTTAGTAGCCGTCTTGGTTATCAGGTCAGTTATCAGAGGGAGAGAAAGAGAGAGATCACATTCACTTAACTTTTATTGCAATATATTTTGATAATTTTTCCATTTTATTATTAGTTATTGTGAATCTCTTAACTGATAAATTAAACTTCATCTTAGGTATTAGAAAAAAACAGCATACATAGGGTTTGGTACTATCTGCAGTTTCATGCATCCACTGGGGGTGTTGGAAGGTAGCCCCATGGATAAGGGGGGACTACTGTAATCCAAAACAACGGCCAGCATTGTCAAAACATGACAGTTTTCCATAGAAGGCAAAGGAGACCCCTACAGGTTACTTACACCGTCCAGTTGGTTGAAATGAAAAAATCTCTCTGCATCACTAGAGTAGGGTTCATAACTTGGTGTGCAGTGGGTAGGGAAGGGGTGTCTCTGCATAGAGTTCAGAGGGTTCATCAACTGAGATGGAAAAATAATTATATATTTATTTTCACTAACCCTTAGAATGAAAAGTAACATTTTAAAAAGTTTTATATGTACAAAAAATCTCAATAGTATTAACAGTGCCTGTGATTTTGTCACCAGTAGAAAGAAAATATAGTTTTTGTATTACATTTGTTAGTTATTATAGATATATTAACATAATAATACTTTTAGTTTATCATTTGATTGGGATAGTTTTCAAACTTCAACAGTTCTCAAACTACCTCCGAATTGGGGAAGAT